TTCTCCACATCCTCACCAGCATTTGTTGTTGTTTGTCTTTTGGATGTTGGCCATCCTAACTGGTGTGAGGTGATATCTCATTGTGGTTTTAATTTGCATTTCTCTGATGATTAGCAATGTGAAGCATCTTTTCATGTGCCTGTTGGCCATCTGAATTTCTTCTTTGGAGAAGTGTCTGTTCAGCTTCTCTGCCCATTTTTTTAATTGGCTTATTTGCTTTTTGTTTGTTGGGGTGCGTGAGCTCTTTATGTAATTTGGATGTCAACCCCTTATCAGATATGTCATTTATAAATATATTCTCCCATACTGTAGGATGTCTTTTTGTTCTATTGATGGTGTCCTTTGCTGTACAGAAGCTTTTCAGCTTGATATAGTCCCACTTGTTCATTTTTGCTTTTGTTCCCCTTGCCCGGGGAGATATGTTCATGAAGAAGATGTTCATGTTTATGTCCAAGAGATTTTTGCCTATATTTTTTTCTAAGAGTTTTATGATTTCATGACTTACATTCAGGCCTTTGATCCATTTTGAGCTTACTTTTGTGTATGGGGTTAGACAATGATCCAGTTTCATTCTCTTACATATAGCTGTCCAGTTTTGCCAACATTTGTGTGGCTTTTTAAATCAATGTTTTTAGTTATGGCTTCTGAGATTTCTGTCATGTTTAAGGAAGACCTTCCCCAATCCAAGGCTACAAAAGAATTTTCCCATATTTTCTCTAAATTCTTTGTGCTTTCTCTATTTATTTTTAAATATACAGTCCACTTGAAATTTGGTGTATTTCAAATGGTGTAAGCTGTAAGGTATGATCCTTATGTATTTTACCCTGGATGGTTTCTCACTTGCTCTACGACATTTATAAAATAGTTCATCTCCACCCCCTTCCCATGTGAAATAGCCCTTTTGTCATATACCAAATTCCATATGAATTTGGTTTGATTCCTGAGGCTTTCTACTCTGCTCCATCATTCTCTCTGCCTGCTTCTGTGTGAGCACCACACTGTTGTATTCATTGAGGCTTTAGAATGTGTTCCAATATCTGATAGGGCTGAGGAGCTCTCATTGCTTTTTTTTTTTCCTCCAGAAATAGTTGAGGATTCACTTTATTATATCTTCTTTATTCTCTCGTATATAGGAAAGCTATTGTTTTCTGTAATTTTGTACCCAGCCACCTTTCTGAACTATCTTTCTTTATGGTCAAGTTTCTCTGTTGACTGGGGTTTTCCAGGTATATGGTCACACCAACTGCTATTCCCTCTAAACCCACCCCTTCAATCTTCCAGCCTCAGTATCCCCCTGAACCATGCCTGTCAAGATCAGCAATGACGCTATATTGCATATCCCAAGGTCAGTTCTTAGTCTTCATCTTACTCAGTCTCTCGAGGAGGATTGTGCTGTTGTTCATTCCCACCTTCTAGAACCAGCTTTTCAGTTCAGTCTCTAGGGTACAATGCTCTCCACCTTGACTCCTTCCTTAGTAGCTGCTTCTTACTGCTGTGTTGGCTGAGTCCTCCTCTTCTTCCAGGTCTCTGGAGGTTGAAGGCCCTTATGCTGAGTCTTAACACTCCTCTCCATCACACTCGTGCCCAGAGTGAGCTCAGCCAGCTCCTCTGGAATGCAAGTTGCATGTTAGTCATCACTGCATCTGCCCTGCGTGGAACAGTGCCTGGCACAACACAGGCACATAATAGTGCCATGTAAATGAACAAGTGAGTGCATACATTTTTCTGATTGTCTTAATTCTTCATAGTTACCTTTTTAAAGGAAATACCAAGTAACTCAATTTGGCTGCAGCATGGGCTCAGTAAAGGAAGTCATAGGAGCTAAGGCTTAACATATTGGCTGGATCTAGATCATCTGAAAATAATCTAGCTAAGAAATTTCATGATGGAGAGGGAGAAAGGTGGCAGTGTGTGGGGCATGCTAAATTCCTTATTTTTTATAAGGGGATGTGATACCGATAAATCAAAAATACAAATGTAGTTTTGTGATACAAAGCTGTGATGTTAACTTCTAAAACAAGTAAGAATGGTAACCGGACATATTGGCTGCTACTGGGGAATGAGACTAAAAGAGACTCTTTCCTTCTACACACCTCAGTGTCATTTGAAAGAAAAATAATATACATAAATTAGTTCTGTGATTAAATTTTAAGAGATCAAGTGTGCCATTCTAGGCAGAGTGTTGAATGCCAAGCAAACCATTTTTGAGCTATGGAAGCTTACATTGTTCCATAGGTCTGCTTCCTGCCCTGGCTCACAGCAGGCAGCAAAAGGCTCCATAACAGCCATTCCTCACAGGGAGGGGAGCCAGGCAGGGCAGGAGCGGAGAGGCCAAGATAAGTGACTTGCAGTCAGGGCAAATGATAAATACGCTGTGAAGGTTCTTGTCTCACGCATCTCCAGGATCATGAGCCAGTGCCCCTTGGCAACCCTAACTCTAACTTGTGGGTGGAAATCATGGGGGCTGTCCAGCATCTTGATAAGCCTCACTCAGTCACCAGACTCTGCTCCTCAGGCACCTCCCCATCTAGAGAGTAAGAAAGCATTCTCTGCTGATTATCAATCCCAACAAAGCTCTTCCTTTTCTACACACCACCTCCAGCAAGAAGAACAGTTAGTGCTAAGGTAAGAGTTTGCTTAAGAACCATCTTTGTTCAAAAGCAGTTTTGTTTTCTCCCTCTTGGTCCACATACTCATGAACTCCGCTTGGGGTAGGGCATGCAGGGGGCCAGGAGCACCCATCAGTAAGGGGCAGCAGACATGGAGCTCCTTCATGGGAATTTGGGTGCTGATAGCTGGGACTGTTGGAGAACCAAATGGGGTCAACCAGGTTATCTCTGCTTCTGTTCTCTCTATATCTAATTTAGGGATATCTAATTTAGGGATAATTAATTAAAGAGGATATCTGGCATTTCATTCCAAAGCTAAATTGTTAATAACCTCAGGTTTCACAGATTTACTTGCTATTCAAAGGTGTGTTTTTTTTCCTTTGTATCCTTGTATCTGGCATTGTCCCAGCAGAAAATACAGAGCGTGATCTAATGGGGTAATTGAGGAGAGTTGATGGAAGGGACTGGTTATGAATGTGTGGGCAGGGCTAAGGGAAACTTATAAAGGATGCTGCGGTCCCCAAAGACAAGGTGTAATTGGGAGCTGTTACCATTGCTTCAGCCTGGGGAAGGGGAAGGAGAATTTTCCAGAACTTGGGGAGGGCTGTGGCTGTGGCTGTCGTGGTAGCTGCAGCTACAGGAAAGGCCCACCAGACAGGAACTGTGTCCTCAAGTAGAATAACAGGGCCACCACCAACTCACAGCCTGTGGGGAGAGAGTCAGGGAGTCACAGACCCCAACTGCCCTTCTCCTGCCCTCCGATCTCCTGTCAGTGTCTCCCTTTCACTGAAAGCACAGGAGCCAGAGGAAAAGGGAGCCCATAGATGAGGCACAGAGATGACCCCTCCCAGGACACAGAGAAAGACAGAGAAGATAGAAATGCAATTTGTTGGAAAATGGAGAAAATCCATCTCTTCTTACAGCTTCCCCATAGTCACTATTTCCTGGGACTCTTTCTCTTTCCCTCTCTCTCTCTCTCCCTCCCTTTAGGTGTGATTGGATCAATTTCTCATTGTATCTACTCAGAATATTTGTTTGACTGTCTGCCCCTCTCTATCTGGTCTCACTTCTTCGGAATAATCTCTTATCATCATAAATGCCTTGAGAATGGAACTTAGGTTTTCAAAGGTGGGGGCACACAGTTATTTATAAGTATTTTAAATGTATGATTTTGGTTGCTCTAGAAAGAAATTCATTATAAGAGTGACTTAAACTGTGTCCCCCACACAGAGCTAGGCAATGGGGACACAGCAATGGACAGGAGAAAAGCACTTCCTATCTTCATAAAGCTGACACACTAGGCCATTTCTAGCCAAGAGGCCTGGCCATCTTCACACTGTCATAGCAAAAGGTCATGACCTTCACGACCTTAAACCATGATCTCCTTCTCTCTGGTCGATGGACCACGTCCAGTCACTGAGAGTCCCCTGGCTCATGCCTGGGACTTCTGACTTCCTAGCCCTAAGAGGAAATCTCAGTCTCAGGTGGAAGGAATGCTGAGTTCAGAGTCCTATTATCATCCCACATAACCTACCTAGACTTTTCTCTTCCTGCCTCCTGCATACAAGGCTGCTCTGGGAGGCTGAGTGGAGGTGTTTGGACGGAAGAATATCCCCGTGTCAGTAGAGAGTCCATGTTGCAGTAGAGAGCCCAGGCTTTAAAGTCAGTGGGAACTTGGTTTGAATCCAAGTTCCAGGCCTTCAAGGCTATGTGGCCTTCAGTATCAGACTTGGCAAGCCTCCCTTTCCCCCTCTGTAATGTGGGGACAGTGTTTCCCACAGAGCAGGGTGGCCCTGAGAATCATGATTGTACATTCTTATGTTCCCAGGGGCAGCAGTGGAGGGTTTCTGAGCATGGATCCCACCATCCCAGGCTGGGCGAGCGCACTCACACCAATGAACGGAAGTGACCAGGCCCTTCCACAGACTTTCATTGTGGAGTTCCTGATCCCGACCTTTCTGACCCTCATACCTGCCCTGGGTGGGCTGGCAGGAAACGCAGTTGTGCTCTGGGTCCTGGGCTTCCGCCTGAGGAGGAACGCCTTCTCCGTTTACATCCTTAACCTGGCAGGGGCCGACTTCCTCTTCCTGTCCTTCCAGACTGCATTTGCCCTGGAGGAACTCATCAGCTCCTTCCACTCCACCTCCAGGTGCATCCCCAGCTTTGTCTTCCCTGTGCCGACCTTTGCCTACCTCGCAAGCCTGAGCATCCTCAGCGCCATTAGCGTGGAGCGCTGCCTGTCAGTCCTGTGGCCCATCTGGTACCGCTGCCACCGCCCCAGACACACGTCAGCTATCATGTGTGCCCTGCTCTGGGCCCTGTCCCTGCTGCTGAGCCTCCTGGAGGGGAGGTACTGTGGCCTCCTGTTTAGGGATTTTGACGTTGATTGGTGTCTGGTGTTTGATTTCATCACTGCAGCATGGCTGATCTTCTTATTTGTGCTTCTCTCTGGGTCCAGTCTGGCCCTGATGGTCAGACTGCTGTGCGGCTCCCAGCGGATGCGGCTGACCAGGCTGTATGTGACCGTGGTGCTCACAGTGTTGGCCTTCCTCCTCTGCAGCCTGCCCTTTGGAATCCATTGGTTCCTCTTGATCTGGGTTCAGAATGGCTTGGATGAACTATATTATCTGGTTGTAACTGTCCTGTCCTGTGTCGGTAGCTGTGCCAACCCCATCATTTACTTCTTCGTTAACCTTAAACCATGATCTCCTTCTCTCTGGTCGATGGACCACGTCCAGTCACTGAGAGTCCCCTGGCTCATGCCTGGGACTTCTGACTTCCTAGCCCTAAGAGGAAATCTCAGTCTCAGGTGGAAGGAATGCTGAGTTCAGAGTCCTATTATCATCCCACATAACCTACCTAGACTTTTCTCTTCCTGCCTCCTGCATACAAGGCTGCTCTGGGAGGCTGAGTGGAGGTGTTTGGACGGAAGAATATCCCCGTGTCAGTAGAGAGTCCATGTTGCAGTAGAGAGCCCAGGCTTTAAAGTCAGTGGGAACTTGGTTTGAATCCAAGTTCCAGGCCTTCAAGGCTATGTGGCCTTCAGTATCAGACTTGGCAAGCCTCCCTTTCCCCCTCTGTAATGTGGGGACAGTGTTTCCCACAGAGCAGGGTGGCCCTGAGAATCATGATTGTACATTCTTATGTTCCCAGGGGCAGCAGTGGAGGGTTTCTGAGCATGGATCCCACCATCCCAGGCTGGGCGAGCGCACTCACACCAATGAACGGAAGTGACCAGGCCCTTCCACAGACTTTCATTGTGGAGTTCCTGATCCCGACCTTTCTGACCCTCATACCTGCCCTGGGTGGGCTGGCAGGAAACGCAGTTGTGCTCTGGGTCCTGGGCTTCCGCCTGAGGAGGAACGCCTTCTCCGTTTACATCCTTAACCTGGCAGGGGCCGACTTCCTCTTCCTGTCCTTCCAGACTGCATTTGCCCTGGAGGAACTCATCAGCTCCTTCCACTCCACCTCCAGGTGCATCCCCAGCTTTGTCTTCCCTGTGCCGACCTTTGCCTACCTCGCAAGCCTGAGCATCCTCAGCGCCATTAGCGTGGAGCGCTGCCTGTCAGTCCTGTGGCCCATCTGGTACCGCTGCCACCGCCCCAGACACACGTCAGCTATCATGTGTGCCCTGCTCTGGGCCCTGTCCCTGCTGCTGAGCCTCCTGGAGGGGAGGTACTGTGGCCTCCTGTTTAGGGATTTTGACGTTGATTGGTGTCTGGTGTTTGATTTCATCACTGCAGCATGGCTGATCTTCTTATTTGTGCTTCTCTCTGGGTCCAGTCTGGCCCTGATGGTCAGACTGCTGTGCGGCTCCCAGCGGATGCGGCTGACCAGGCTGTATGTGACCGTGGTGCTCACAGTGTTGGCCTTCCTCCTCTGCAGCCTGCCCTTTGGAATCCATTGGTTCCTCTTGATCTGGGTTCAGAATGGCTTGGATGAACTATATTATCTGGTTGTAACTGTCCTGTCCTGTGTCGGTAGCTGTGCCAACCCCATCATTTACTTCTTCGTTGGCTCCTTCAGGCAGCGGTGGCCAAAGAAGCACAAAACCCTCCAGCTGCTTCTCCAGAGGGCTATGCAGGACGCATCAGAGGTGGATGAAAGTCAGGCCGGCCTTCCTCAGAAAAGCCAGGAGCTGTCAGGAAGCAGCCTGCTATGCTGACTCAGAGTCTCTGCTTCAGTCAGACAGATGTGGCTTTGAGAGCCAGCATTGTCCCTGTCATTTTGGGAGATTTTCTTAACTTCTCTCAGCCCCTGGGCCTCTGATCTTAAAACAGTTAAGATAATAATCCTCACGAAGATTAAGCAAGACAGGGCCCATTACACAAACACGGAGCGCAGTGTGTCAAGGACTGCTTGCCCAGGGCCTTCACCTGTCACTAGGTGAACTTTGCAAACTCTGGGCTCCACTTTTGAAGATTCACTTTCATCACAGGCTGCAAGTAGTGCAGGAAAGGCCTAAATTTGGTTACTGCGTTTGGCAGGGACTAAAAGATCATTTCACTTTTGACAAGACTCTGTGGTCACTTTCCTACTATCTGTCTCAGTAAAATTAAAAGAATTAAAGTCCAATCTAGCCCCAAAGAGCAGTCTTCTTTGATTTTGGCAGGCCTTAAAATATCTCCCTAGCTTAATAAATGTTTATTGGAGAAATGACTTAATGAATGAATAGATTAATTTTTAAGGCAAACCTGTGTGCTAAATCTCCATTTGCTAAATTTGAATCACCATCTTTAAGTTTATTGTTTTCCCCATCTTCCACTTTTGCAAGGATGAAGTTACATTTTATAACCAGATTAATTAACATCAAATCTCACTTAAAGTTGGAGGTAAGTTGTCCTCCTGTGGGCCTTTCACGCCCTCCAGGGGAATCCCACTGCCCCCCACGCAGTCCCATGTCTTTGACTTTTCCCTGACCCTCCCTCTCTGGGGCTCGCTGATCCTTCCTGGAAGGTATCGGTGGGTCTTTTTAGACTCTATGTTCTCTGAGGACAGGATCTATGTCAGACTGGCCTTTTATTCCAAAAAGCTCACATTTATTTTGTTAATCTGATTACAGAAAGAGATTTTTTAACTTGCATGTTCTATAAAAATAATATATTAAGTTTAAATGTTGCCTCTTGGAATCGTTTTTTTGATTGAGGTACAATTAGGAGAGAGTGATTGCACAGATCATAAGCGTGCAGTTCAATGAGTTTTGGCAATGATACACCCATGTGACTCAAAGTTCCGTCAAGCCATAATACATTTTCCTCCCCTCTGAATGTTCCCTCATGTCCCTCTCAGACATTCCTTGTGACCCAGAGGCAACTATTGTTCCTACTTCTGACACCAAAGATTAGCTTTGCTTAACCTTTGACTTTATACATTTAGGATGATACAATGTATTTTTTTTGTTCCTATCTTCTTTTACTCAGCAAAATATTTGGGGGATTTACTTGTGTCATTGCATTGCATGTATCAATCCTGTGTCTCTTTTATAAAGCTGTGTACTCTTTCACTGTGTGGTGGTACCACAGTTTAGTGTGCATAATATTCCATTATTGGCTATTGTAAATAAAGCTGCTCTGAACATTTTTATTCAAGTTCTTTTCTGGACCTATGTTTTAATTTCTCTTGGGTAAATAACTTGAAGTGAAATTGCTGGGTCATGGGAAGATGTATGCTTAATTCCATGAGAAATTGCCAAACTTTTTTCTAAAGGTGTTGTGCTGTTTCGCATTCCCACCAGCAATGCATGAAAGTTCCAGTTGCTCCAGAAGCTCCCCAACCAGCATGGTATTGCTAGTCTTTTGAATGTTAACCATTCTAATGAGTGTAAAGTGGCTTCTCACTGTGTTTTAATTTGCGTTTCCCAAGTGACTTATGAAATTGAGCATCTTTTCATGTGCTTATTGGCTACTTGTATTTTATTTTGAAGTGTATGTTTGTGTTTTGCCCATTTTTATTAAGTGGTGGTTCCCTTTGGCATAATGTATTTGCAGGAGTTTTTATATGTAGTCAATGAGTCTTTCATTAGTTATGTATATTATAAATATTTATCCACATGGTGGCTTGCCTATTCATTTTTCATAGATTTTGCATTCCAGAGTACTTTTAGACTTATAGAAAAATTGTACAGAAAGTACAGAGGGTTCTTGTACACTCGTTGTCCCCATCCCTACTCTCCCACACAGTCTATCCTGTTACTAACACCTTCCATTAATGTGGTACATCTATCAAAATTGATGGACAAATATGATACATTATTATAAACCGAAGTCCATAACTTACATTGCAGTTCACTTTGTGTCATAAAGTTCAGTGAGTTTGACAAATGCAGGATATTATGCATCTATCACTAGAGTATCATATTAAATAGAACCTCTCCTCCAAAAATGAACTGAATACCTAGGTATAGATTTATTTTATTTGTTTGTTTTTTTGTATTCATCCTCCTTGGTGTTCTCTGAGCTACCTGAATCTGTGGTTTGACAATAATTGGAACATTCTCAGCCATTACTACTTCAAACATCTCTTCCGTTTCTTTCTTTTTTCTCCTGATCTTCTCACCATATGTATTTGATACCTTTTGTGATCATCTCACAGTTCTTGAATATTTTGTTTCATTTTTTTCAGTCTTCTTTTTCTTTTTGCTTTTCAGTTTGGGAAATACCTATTAATGTATCTTGAGGCTCACTGATTCTTTCAAAGGCTGTATCAGGACACAAGGGCTCCTGCAGGAAAAGGCTTTCTTCAGCCCATCAAAGGCATTCTTCACATCTGTTACCATGTGTTTATTCCTAGCATTTCCTCTTTCTTATTTTTCATCATTCTGCTCATATTGTCCATCTGCTCCTGCCTATTGTCTACTTTTCCCTTCCGGATCCTTAGCATATTCATCACAGTTATTTTAAATTCTCAGTCTGATATTTAAATTCCAAATTCTTGGTCATATCCTGAATTCTTTACTTCTCATATGGGGAGCCAATTGATCCTGTTAATACCGATAAATTAAAAAATTAAAATATTAGTTTACTATTCAAATCTACGACTGTAAGGAATGAAAGAATTTAGAAGAAAAAAACCTGAAACAAATTGTTACTTCTGGAGAATAGGATTCAGGAAGACTTTTATCATTTATGCGATACACTTCTGCAAGAATTGCAAAGGAAATGTAAACTTGCAGGCGTAACTCTATGATAAAGAAAAATGGCAGGCCAAGCCCTAGAGGGCCTTGAGTGACAAGTAAGGAGGGTGTGCTTTATTCTTAGCTATAAATCCTCAGAGCACAGGCTCACGTGGCTTGGCAATGCTGCCCAGACACACAGTTGGCAGCAAAAGGCTCCACAACAACAACCACTCGTGGGGACAGGCTCTGGATGAGGTGCGGATGAGCAGTGGTTGAGAGACAGGAGCAGAGCTGAACCAACTGCTGAGAAACATCCCATGACTGGCCATGACTCAGAAAACTCCACACTCTCATTTGCCAGCAGTCCGTGTACAGGAAACCACAGGGGTGCCCAGCGCCTGGGTAAGCCCCAGTCCAGCATCAGGCTTCACCCTGCCCCTGCCGGCACCTCTCAAGGACAGATAAATGTCCTCTAGTGACTGTCAATCACAGGAAGTTTCAGCACGGGTCAACTTATCACCTCCAGCAAGAAGAATGGAGGAAAGGTACATTTATCAAGTATTTATTTCCAAAGCCACTGTTGGGTTTTTTCCTCTTACTACACATCCGCATACCTCTACCTGGAGATGGAGTATTCAGGAAGCAGCAGGGTCTCCAGAAGGAAAAGACTGGAGACATGAAGCTCCCTCCTGTCAATTTTGGGTACTGGAAGCCCTGACTGTGGAGGTCTGAACTGGTAAACCAACACTGTTCCCCCTTACTAGACCCTTTGCCATTCTCCCCACCTTCTCAACCATTCACACGTGCTGTCATGGTTAGAAATCTGTTGCTTTCCTTAATTTAAGGAGCCAGATAGGGCACACGTATGCATCCCAAAGCTGCAGGGCTGTGAAGAACCTAGTCATCTGTTTTCCTTGCCTTCAGAAGTTCTTTTTCTTTCTGTATTTCTCAGGGTGGCAGCAGAAACCAGATGGCCTAAAATGGGATTATTGACAAGAGTTTAATCAAGGACTATTTACTGATATGGGCAGGTTTAGGCAAAGTAATATAGAACTGTTACCTTTACCCCTAAGGAAGCAATAGCAAGTAGACTTAACATCACTAAGCTTGAAAGGCAAGGGGAAGGAGAAGTTACCAGGACTCAGTGGGGAGCCAGTCTGGGCTGACTGGGCCCTGTTCGGAGGCAGGGAGGGCTCCTGGGCTCCATGGCCTGTTCTCAGCAGTCCTCCACCCATCTCTTCCTCAATCCACATTGGATGGGCTTCACTTCCTTGCTACTTACAAAATGTGCCTATTCTAGTTTAATAAAACCTAAGTAAATCTCCATCTTAGATTTGTCCCTGAGAGTCACTTGCTTCCTCCCTTCACTGCTCTCTGTGTATAGTAGACATACCACCCTGGTAATGGGGCTGCAGGCCTGGTGAAAGGCGAGGATGCTGACACAGACCTGTGAGTTCAACCCCAGGCTCTACCACTCTTTGGCATGAGCCCTGGAGCATATCACTCAACCCCCTCTGCTTCTGTTTCCTTGTGAGCAAGATGGGAATAATATTAGCCCTTGCCTCATATGGCTATGTAGAGGATTAGAAGATGTCGTACCAAGGAAGCACTCAACCAGCTGCTGCTGCTCACCTACAGGTGAGATGGTCCCTGTTTGTCATTTGAAATCTGCAAGAGCATCTCTCTTTTGACTAAAAGTCCTCCTAAAGTAGAAATAAGCACTTAAAAAAAATCTCCCCACCCAAGAGCTCTCCTATACAAATGATTAATCTGCAAGGAAAACTTGACTCAAAACCACATGGTGGGGGACAAGGAGTGGGTTTTTATCTCATATAAAAATCACCTAATAATCCTCCCTCTGTATTTCTATGCCTCAGCTACCTCCATTCAGACCCATTGTCACCTCTCTCCTTTCCCAACCTTGTTTCTTATTCTTAAAGAAATTCAGCTAAGCTCTGAATCCTCTCCCTAAACTATGAACTTAAATCCTCTAGGTGCTCACTAAAGCCATATGCTGGCCCTCCCTGGGTTGGAGACCATCTAGTGACCCTCTCAGATATTTGTGCAGGCATAAGGAATTCTTCCAAATACACCACAGCTTTCCACAAAACGAATAATGATGAATGAAATTTTCTTCAATTCTTTGCATGTGTATTTTTTGTTGACTAATTTCATAAGAATTTTTGTTACATTGAATCCAAATTTTCCACAACCCTTAGGCTCCCCATTCACTCGTTGACTAAAATTTTCTTGACTTCCCATTGTGTCACTCACACAGCATTAAGCCCTAGGGGCACAGCAACAGACAACAGTAAAGCACTCCCTGTCCTCATAAAGCTGGCACCTTGAGTTATTTCTAGCACAAGAGGTTAAGAGGTTTGAGCACCCTCACACTGCCATAGCCAGAGATCATATTCTCTTCATGACCCTAAGCCATGACCTTTCTCCCTGGTGGGTAGACCATTCTCAGGCACTGAGATTGTCCACAGTTCATGCCTAGGGCTTCTGACTTCCTGCTCTGGAGCAGAAGCCATTGTCTCGGAGCAGAAGCAATGCTGGGCCAAGTCCTGTTGCCATGCCACACAGCCTGTCCAGACTTACCTTCTCTTGCCTCCAAGGGATGTGTCTAGGACAGTGGGTGGGGATGTTTAGACCACAGATAGTCCCCTGTCAGTAGAGAGTCCATGTTGTAGTAGAGAGAGCCTAGGCTTTAGCATCAGAGAGAACTGGATTTAAACCCAAGTTCCAGGACTCCAAGGCTGTTGGCCTTTGGTGAGTATCTTGATCTCGGCAAGCCTCCCTTTCCCCCTCTGTAACAAGGGGATGGTAATTCCCACGTAGCAGGGTGGCCCTGAGAATTCATGATCATACATACAGCAGGTGCTCAAGTCTTGTTTGAGTTCCCAGAGAAACCCATGGAGGAACTCGTTGACTAAAATTTTCTTGACTTCCCATTGTGTCACTCACACAGCATTAAGCCCTAGGGGCACAGCAACAGACAACAGTAAAGCACTCCCTGTCCTCATAAAGCTGGCACCTTGAGTTATTTCTAGCACAAGAGGTTAAGAGGTTTGAGCACCCTCACACTGCCATAGCCAGAGATCATATTCTCTTCATGACCCTAAGCCATGACCTTTCTCCCTGGTGGGTAGACCATTCTCAGGCACTGAGATTGTCCACAGTTCATGCCTAGGGCTTCTGACTTCCTGCTCTGGAGCAGAAGCCATTGTCTCGGAGCAGAAGCAATGCTGGGCCAAGTCCTGTTGCCATGCCACACAGCCTGTCCAGACTTACCTTCTCTTGCCTCCAAGGGATGTGTCTAGGACAGTGGGTGGGGATGTTTAGACCACAGATAGTCCCCTGTCAGTAGAGAGTCCATGTTGTAGTAGAGAGAGCCTAGGCTTTAGCATCAGAGAGAACTGGATTTAAACCCAAGTTCCAGGACTCC